AACGGTTACAGGGCGATTCGGATATGGTTTCTAATCACAGACAATGCGGCATGAGCATTAGTATACCTTAGCCTCGTCCTACTTTTTTAAATCCGATTTGATGGTACGTAAGGGGACCCAAGTTTGCCTCCGATCCGACGCTGCCTCCAGGTTAGAGGGATGATTGCGCAGAGCAGAGCAGAGCCTCACAAGAGCGTCCATACCTTGCAGCCATCTCGCCAGCATTGGTCGCGTCGAACATTACACACTCATTGTATGATATTAATGGCCAAAAGACGGATGTTAGTGGTGATTCGGGATGCCGCGGCCGAAGACCGAGGGACGTAGCGTACAGGCTCCGAATAGTGGGAAGAATGTGGGTTGTTTGTTACCATCGTTTCCTCACGCCTTATAGATTGGTAGATAGAGGGCGTGCATCTCATACGTCACTAGGCGTTGGATGCGTGGAATCGGTGAATCTGGTAGATCATCAGGGTGTTTTAGTCGTAGTCCTCACGAACAGCGAGCCCGTTGGTGTGATTGATCATAATAACCCGCATCGCCCTTACTTGCTGAGTGCATCTCTTTCTCACGTGCGTATTTCAAAATTTGCCTGTTACGTTTTTGTGTTTTTCGAACGTTAGACATCTAGGCGCTTGTAAGTTGTGGGTGGGTGCTGGTCCTCGTTGGATGAAGATAGACATGAAGTTATGTATTCCGTAGATAGAGAAATTGATGGAAGGGTGATCAGGATTTTGATAGGTAATTATGTACATACTTTGTGGGGGCTGCATCCGAACTATCTAGTTAGCCGACTGTGGCTTGCTGTGGCTTGCTGTGGCTAGAGCAAAGTGACGGATTATCATTGATACTGTATAGTGACCTAAGACGGGCATCATTGTTCGTTCCTCCCTAGAGAAGGCCAAACGCCAAACAGATAATTACCTAAGGTTAACACCCTCCCAAGATTTCTGCTGTTGTCGAGTTTTCTCTTTCTTGTCATGTTTCATTCAATGCTCTTCGCTGCTTCATGGCACCGCTTCCTCCCGGTCAGCGCCCACAAATTGTGCATTCACACGACCTGCTTGGGCGGCTGTGGCTCATGACAGGTCCGAACTACGAAGTACACATCTTATTAGAACCCATCTCAGGGCTTATTTCACATTCCACCATAGGTAGGTATGTGAGTACACTGCAGACTGAAGGTAAGCGTGCGCCCGCCAATGTGATGAGAGTACCACTACTAAACACACACTCAGGTAGAATGTCGTGAAGGCTGCTAGCAATACATGGTACACTGTCTCCTGTACACCGCGCTCGCAGAATGTACCTTACCCTACGTCCAGGGTACTGTTTATTCGTGTACAGAATACCTATACACTATGACAGGCCCATACATGGAGCGATCCCCACTACACCCACTACTCCTTGGACCTGATCGCCTGTGCTCCCCATTTCTACCGGATTAGAAATCGCTGTTATTATTACAAGTATCAGCTGAATCCTCCGAGCGAAGATTGCTACCTACTTACTTAGTACATGGGTAGGTAGTAGCTTACAGTAGTCTGGAAAAGCCCACGCTACCTACGCTACAGCCTACATCTCCTGAGGCTCCTGGAGACAGAGAAGATACTCTGCTCTGTTTCCCTGTTTCCCTGTTCCCCTGTTTTCCCGTTTTCCCCAAAGTTGCCAAGAACATCCACCTATCTCGCATTTTCGCTTCCCCGGTACTCTGTCCTCCTGCCTGGCCGCATTCGACTAGAAATTACGTGGATTATACTACCTACCACACACTAGTGTAGGTACGATTTGCGAGCCGCGTCTCCACCTCTCTCGTGAGTGGCGTGTGCGCTGAGTGTTGTTCTCCTCTTCTCTGTCGATCTCCCTTCCGCCTACCTCTACCTATCTCTTGTCTGCGCTACGCTCTGCCCACCCGCGTCCGACTACCTATCTACCTATCGTCATCGGCCTTCTAGCTTCTGTTATGAATGATGATTCAAGAGCATGTGTATGTTTTCCAGCTTGCCTTACCTTTCTTCCCTTTCCTCCCGCCTCTCCTCGCTTGTGATTCGGAGCCTCTCTTTTCTTCCCGGCAACCTACGAGATTTGAGACTGGTTGGATGATGTCGTGATTTGTATTCTTGGCTAGACGTCTCCCGCTTTGCTACCCGGGTCCACGCGCCAATTATTTATCACATTATTGATAAACGCTTCTTGGCGCCAACCCGGCCCTCTTTTTAAGCCTCCTTGGCACAGCCGCAAACTGACGTGATTCTACAGCACTTCAAGCCATTCGGAACGTCGTGTAGGTTGCCAAGCTGAAACTTCCCTTTGCCTCCAACAATCTGTCCCTGGCAAATCTATACTATATTTGCCCTCAAATGTCATGGGAAAGCTTGGCTGCGACTCGCCCGTTTCGCCGTTGAACCCATCCTTAGTAGATGAACCCTTGATCTAAACGAGAAAGCTATTGGAGCGTCGATGTCGTCACTGCCAAGGCCTACTGCTCTAGCTTTGCTATTCATGGGCCGACAACCTCACAAAGGACAAGAGCGCGCGATTCACGTAGCTGACCGATACGGCTGTTTCTTCACATCATGTCACCATGACCACACAAACAGCACGACCACCCGACGGCATCTCATTGTCTTACTTTACCGTTCATCCATGAATATCATTAATGGCCCCGCTAACTCAACCGCAGTCTGTTGTTCACCAATCCCAAGTTATCCCATGGCTTTCATGCCCCTAGCACCATTATCAGGAACCTCACTGCCGTTCCGGTACGTTCTATGCGACACAATGTCAGTCTCCCGCAATCCTAACTGTTGTCTTGATTAGGGCACGTTAGCCTATTCCGAAACCATCCTCAACAACATCACTACTCTCTCTACCAACTTCGTCATAACAACCAAGGGAACCATCCAAGGTCTACTATACGTACCCGATCTCCCCCTTGGGGCCTCCTGCGATCAGGCTGACCAGTACATCCCGGCAAATGCAACACGTAAACTCAATCTTCCGCCTAACGACTATATTCTCATCGCTCTAGTACCGTGGATCAATGTCAACTGTACTAAGGCTTTTATGGCGGCCGCAACTGTCGACCCCTTGCGTGCCATGCTTGTTTATCGTCCGGACGATGAGGACGGTCAACCACCCGATGCCGGGTCCGATCTGTGGAAACTTGACGACGGAGGAGGCTGGAAATTGAAAAATCATTTTCCTGTTTATGCGATTTCCAGCGGTTCTGGGGCGCGCATGATGCAACAACTAAGTCTGTATTCCGGAGGCGTATCCGAGGTACCTTTTGCCGATGAGATCAACAAGACCTATGCGCCAAACCCCGAGGACTACGTGCGAGTCTGGACACAGCTGTCCGTGGCACCGGAGCCTGCACTTTTGGCGATCTGGGCCTTTGCACTGATCATTCTCGCTGTGCTCCTGGGTGTTATAGGCGGGACATCACTACTTATGCATTATGTTCAGAATCACCGGCGAGCCATGCTGCGCCGTCGTGTGATGAATGGCGAGGTAAATTTGGAAGCATTGGGGATCAAACGTTTGACGGTACCTCTTTCTCACATCCAAGCCTATCCTTTGTTTACCTATTATTATGATCCCCCTGGAGGTTCAATCCTGGTTTCGTCGCACTCCCGCCAGTCCCCGCACAAGCTGTCTTGTGACTCTGATTCTCCGTCATTTATTAACAATCGGGGGAGATATGGTGACCGCCTTGATTACCAACCCACCTGCTCGATTTGTTTAGACGACTTCGAATCGAAAGTCACAATTATACGGGAGATATCTTGCGGACATATATTCCACCCTGAATGTATCGACGAATTCTTGAGCGAGATCAGCTCTCTCTGCCCCATCTGCAAGGAGTCGATGTACCCCTGGGGCCATTCTCCCAAAATCACGAATTCTATGGTTCGAAGAGAACTCAACACTCGAAGGTTGAGGTCAAACGGTACTTTCCCGATTAGCGGATGGCGACGGCTGTTGAGTAGGGATACGCCCGAGGCACTTCCTACACGATTGTCAGCGTCGGACATCACAGCGCCCCGCACCTCGATTCGTTTGCAGACACAACCTGAGGGCCGAGGGCTTGGCGGGGTGGGTACCACGAGAGAGCGTATGCATGAGCTGATCACGCCGATAACAGACGAGACGGACAGCGAGGATGAGCGCTCTCCATGCGGGCATTTCTCTTAAAATCATCATACCATAATGCCCGGGCGACCTAACCTTCCGGCAGGGAAGCATGCTGTGTTGATCTTGTTCCCTGGGTACGGCTGATGGGCGGGTCTTCTTGAATGGCGCGGTTGGATCGGCAATCAGCACTTGGGCGGCATTGGACGGTATTTTCTGGCATTTAATTCGGCGTTACTTTTCGGCGGTATTTCGTGAACTGCTGATGGAAGGGTAAGCAAACATGGGCGTTCAAAGGCTATGTCCTCGGTCGAATCAAAAAGGCTACTTTTAGTGTGTATATAAGGCGCAAATTCTTGGATATACCCCCGGCTCTTCAACGCATAGTCACATCTGAAAGACGATCATGCCAATGATCTGGCTCATCTCTTGGGCATCACTAGGTACGAATATACACCCCCGTCCCATCAAATTCAACCTATCAAGGTCACGACGCAGTGCCGTGGTGCGTCCATGCAGAATCCTAGATCTATGATCTTGCTGATTGTACCTACAATCTACCTGCCTTTTGCGCCGTGTCACTCTTGTATCTTAAAGAAGGCAACGAGTCGCGATTCGTCCCCTTGATCGCATCTGAAGCGGGATAACTCGACTTGTGATTATACGTTCAATCGCCGAGCACAAAAGACGAGCCTGTGCGTATCCGAGGCTATCTATCTAGCTTCAATACCACAAGTTAAGAAATTGGTGGACATGTGGTGTGCATTGCGTGCCAACCGGAAAAGGATCACAAATGGAATTCCATGACTTTTAACGTAATTCACATGTTCTATAAAAAATCGGCAAAAAGATAACTAACTGTACGTTGGACGAACGGGGAATTGAACCCCGGACCCCTCCCATACTCATATGTCCGGAGAAGAACTCCGAAGAATGCGAAGGGAGTATCATACCCCTAGACCATTCGCCCATTGGACTATGATTTGCCCGTTCGTTAGCGCCAACTAACAAGCCCCCCGACAGAAGTGGGTCCGATAGGAAACCACACACCTGTCAGTCCCTCAATATCGCGGAGTGGTATTTCAACTTAGATATGCCTACTTATTCCCTTGAAAAAGCCGGGATGCACGACAAATATGTGTCAATAGGTAGAATGAAGGCGCACAATTCCTAGAATGTGCTTTTTAGTTTTTCTTTGCAATGGGACAGGGCGTTGGTTGGTTTATTCCATGGCCGATATATGTCTTGTTGCGTTGCGTTTATGAGCGTGTGTGGTTTCTTATCGGACCCACTTCTGCCCCGGTACTTCTCAGTCTGCCGGTACCGAGTGTCGCACATGTGCGTCTGTGCATAATATTGGTTCTCGAATAGGGATTGAAGTTGACGGGATCAGATGACTGTTAGTATCGACGATAGCAAGGCAACGATGTGTCAAGATAATGACTGTCATTAACTATTGGTGACTGAGGAGGGACTGGAGGGGTAGGTTGACCTAATGTCGTCGGCGATTGGCGATCGACGACAGAATATGCAGGTAAACAGAATAATGGGCAATGAGGGACATTATGTAATGTACCTAATCGGGGCGGACGGGCGGGATGGAGTAATTCGGAGTATTCCGTAATTAAATGTAGCTGCTAGAAGCATAAACCACCTTCTCAGGAGTACGCAACCACATCGGGCACCTGGGGCAGTTTTGCGCCAAATTAACTTTTGTCTCATCCCACGATAGACTTGGATTCTGCGTTTGTTTCTTGTCGCGCTCATAGAATATTAATAATAATTGGTAATAGTATCCGACATCCGGTATTCCTCATCATCATCAATGCGCCGCACATTCTTCGAAGCACGATATCGTCACCCGTGGTAGCCGTTCAACGTACCTGATAAGGTGCGCGGCAACTGTGGGGGGAGAGAAGAGAAGAGAAGGGAAGGGAGCGTGTCCTCGGTCTTCGGTCTTCGGAAGATTCACTGTTCCTCGCGGTCCTTTGCTCGATGCTCGCCGAAGACACCGCATGGCAGATTCGTAACCAGCCCTATGGCGTGGTGGTCCAGATCGTCCGTCGCAAATCATGGCTCCTCCTCCTGCTGCTGCTGATCGTCCTGGTGTACCTGCTTGTTGGCTTCGTTCCCGAGAACCGCGATTTCCTCTGGGGCTTCCCCTATGTCCACGACAGCTACGATTGGTCCAAGCAGAAGCTCTTCTACCCGGTCTCCAACTACACCCCACTGCCGACGGGTCAGCCTCTGTCGTTACCACCGGTTCAATTCCCTTTTCGCGAAGACAAGAGCCCCGCGGGCGTCGCGCGGGAGGCAGTGCTGGCATCGAGACGCAACGAGGTGAAAGATGCATTTGTGAAGAGTTGGAAGGCATATAAAACGGTCGGGTTCGGGTATGATGAGGTTCTGCCCGTGTCCGGGGGTGGGTATAACGAGTACGGGTTCGGCAAATGGGGAGCTACCCTTGTCGATTCCCTGTCGACCCTTTGGATAATGGATCTCAAGGATGACTTCCACGAGGCTGTCGCTGCCGCCGTCACCCGAGACTATTCCAAGGACAACGAGACGTCTTGCCTATACTTCGAAATCACCATACGGCACCTTGGTGGCTTGCTCGGTGCCTATGACTTGAGCAAGGAGACGGCATTGTTGGAGAAGGCAGTCGAGCTTGGCGATATACTGTACATGGACTATGACACCCCCAATCGGATGCCCGGCGCCACGTTAGACTTCAGGGATGCGAGAACGGGCAGGCAGCTAGCTGGGAACCACGATCCGTCGGCCTCCGTCGCCTCTTCGTCCATGGAGTTTTCGCGCCTATCACAGCTGACTGGCGACAACAAGTATTATGACGCGATCAACCGGGTGACGCAGGTTCTGAACGAATGGCAGAACAAGACGCAACTTCCGGGAATGTGGCCGACGTATCTCGACTTGCGGAATGAGGCGTTGGACGGGGTCAACAGCTTCACGCTGGGTTCATCCGCCGATAGTCTGTACGAGTATCTGGGTAAAACATTCGTTCTACTCGGTGGTCTCGAACCAGTATATGAGAAAATGTACCGAGCCGCGATGGACACAGTGACCAAACACATCTTGTTCCGCCCTAAAATGCCCGACCAGGCAGACATTTTGTTTCCGGGGAATGTCATGGTCTCGAGCCTAGGCCCGATCCTGACTGCTCAATCTCAGCACCTCTCATGCTTCGTCGGCGGCATGTTCGGACTCGGTGGGAAAATATTTCAGATCCCCGAACATGTCGCGATCGCCGAAAAGATCACCAAGGGGTGCGTATGGGCATACGACGCCATGCCGGCTGGCATCATGCCCGAAGTGTTCAGCCTGCTGAATTGCGAGGGCTTGGAGCCGTGTGCGTGGAGCCAGGAGCAATGGGAGGCCGTTGGCAACACGACGCTGAAGCCGGGATTCGTCGGTGTGCAAGACGCCCGGTATCTGCTCAGGCCGGAGGCCATTGAAAGCGTGTTCTACATGTACCGGATCACGGGCAATGCCGAGTATCAGGACATGGCATGGGCGATGTTCCAGGCGATTCGCAAGGCGGCTGAGACGGATCTGGCGTTTTCGTCGATCGAGTCTGTCACGGTCGCCGATACAGTCAGGACAAATTCAATGCAAGTCAGTATCTTTCTTCTCTTCTTCTCATACCATCATCTATCTATGATCATCGACTCACTCTCGTTCCCCTTAGAGTTTCTGGCTGGCCGAGACACTGCGGTATTTCTACTTGATATTCTCATCGCCGGATTTGATAAGCCTTGACGAATATGTCTTTAATACTGAAGCCCATCCTCTACGGCGCCCATTGCCTGCTTCTTCATAGCAGATGAGCAATGGTGAACAAGTCCTGAATACGGTTGGTTGGTTCGCTAGTTGATTGGGAGATAGGATAGGATAGGATAGGAAAGCAAAGGTGGTAGCTCACCTTTTGAACACTTAATACTCTTGTGGTATAGAATAGAGAATAAGAACAAACAGATTTGAGGGCAAGCACGTTGCCTTTTTCATTAGTTGAACAGCTTTTATATTGGTTGATTTCCGTTACGCCCTTGAGGTCACGCATGAACAGGATTTTTGTACGAGAGAGGCCGTAGGTTACATCCGCAGTGTCAAAGACAGACAGACAGACAGACAGACAGACAGACACATAACGGGAGACACGACATCGTGTGTCATGCTGTGGGCTCTATCTTAGACGGCTTACATAGGAACAGAGAGTCCGCGCTGGGGCTGAGGAGCTGGCGAAGCCGGGAGTTTCAAGGTTGAATGCTTCTCGGTTTCTAGGCTGGATGGTGAGGCGCTTCGGGCGCTGCTTGAGATCAAGTATTTCTTCACTTGGTTCCATTCCCTCACGACATCATCAACCATTGGAAGCCTTGTTGCGGCCCGTGGTGTGTAAAAAAAAAAAAAAAAAAAATTCCGAATCGTATCTATCTATCTATCTGATTGGACTCTGATAATGTAGGTACGATACCCAGACGAATACTCTCGAGTTCATCGATTTTCTTTTCTTGAAAGTCTTTTTATCAATAATTCTAAATTGTTCACATGAAAAACGATAACTGTAACTGTAACTGTAACCAGTACCAGTACCAGTACCAGCCCTGAAATGATCTTTCAACATCAATGTTTTGACCATCTAATTCCTTACGGTTCAGGGAGGTACAAACCATACATTTTTTTTTCTCTTTTTCTTTTTTTTTTTTCGGTTGGAAATCCCGTTTAGATTGACACAGGTACCCGTTTCCCGTTCTTTTCTGCAGTTATCCTGAGGTAAAAAAAAAAGGTAAATAACCACGCGGGGCTGCCGATCACAATATCACCCCCTTCCCTCCCCCTCCCCCTCCCCCCGTAAGCGGTACCCGTATGTACTGTACCCGTCTTACTTACCCTTACAACTCCAATTAGATTCTAGAAATTGATAGAGAGGTACAGTACAGTAGGATAGATAAGGTAAGGTAAGGGTAAAACATTTGGCGTGAGCAGTGGCAAGGTTGCTTGATGAAAAGATGACTGTTTTGTATTTTATGTGTGTGTATGTGTGTGTATGTGTGTTTTTTTTTGTTCTGTTTTTTTGGCTCCCATTTTGAGTGAGGGGTGTGGGGGTTTATATTGTGAGAAATTATCTAGGAGAAGACCAAAACACAAAACAAAAAAAAAAAAAAAAAAAAAAAAAAAAAAAGAAACGTGGGGATTCTGCAAAAGACATTGTTGTTACTTGAAACGAGAATAGATGGCTGTTTACTTCCCTTGTGGTGTATGGCATGGTCGTGTTTAGGTGTCTGTGCTTCTGTTTGCTCTCTTTCTCTCTCTCTCTCTCACACACACACACTCTCTGGGGGCCCTACAAGGAAGAAAAAACGTGTCGGTGATTCTCGGGAGTCGGATGGGTGTCACAAGTTGGTTTGGTCGGCTGACAGTCAGGAACCAGGGTCGATGGAGGGCGACAGGATGGGGCCCCCTTGTTCTGCCCTGCCCTGCTATGTATTGTATGGGCTATCAGTCAGAAATAACTCCGGCAAGAAAAGGTAGGATGGATTATGGGAGTGAGTATGTATGTATGTATGTATATATGTAGGATTCGGATCATGGTGTAGTAAGCCAGGAACACATATCACCATACATAGGTAAATAATAATAGAATATGTTGCCAATGTCAGTCAGAATGAAGATGGGAAGGAAATAAATAATACCTCGTGGGATAGCCATAGGCGAACTGAGACAAGCATGAACTCACACGTGGGCTGGCTCGTAAGAAAAGGAGTCGAAAGTCGAAAGTCGGGACCGAAAGAGGCGCTGAAGTCTTCGACAAGGGAAATCCCAGATGTTTTAATATATTCTATTTACATGGTGGTTTCTTTTACAGCTCATGGCATTTCGGTGCGACGAAAGAACTCTTTCAAAGTGATCAATCAGCCCTACTTAATATATGTACTCGGTATCGGTTGACCA